AACACACACACACACACACACACACACAAAGCTCCACTTGTCAAATGCCTCTGAATAAAACGGAAGAAAAAAGTTGTGGTTTCTCTGATTTCATGAGGTGATACAGACGTGTGGTGCTGTTTGTGTTGGAAACATTAAGGTGAACTGGGCTTTATGGCATCTTTTATGATTTTGACTGCCATGAGTATTTAGCATTAACCAGAGCCCTGTGAAAAGAGAGTTGCGACACTCCCATAGACTCCCATAGAAATAATGGAATGCGGAAGTCACGTGGGTCATGAAGCGGCAAAGAGTTCCAAACAGCAGCGGGTTCAGCATTGAACGTAGTTCATTTTCCGTGTTTTTCCGGTAAGTTAATGCAAATACGACACTTTTTCTCCATTGTGAAGCGTTATCTAACTGTTCTGTACCTCAATTTATCCACTTTAATACTTCATGTCGCCAGTTTTAGTTAATGAAACATGTTAAATTACTAGTTGTGTTTTAACTGCAGCTGCTCTGCAACATGACGGTTTAAACTGGTCGATTTCTAATTCAACTTTTTTAAATATCTATTACTGCTTACATTTTGAAAGGTGGCCTTTTTTTAAATTTATGGTAATTCCAGTTACTGAACTCAACTAGAAAATATTTGGTCTTTTTTCCTGAGAGATTCATTCAACCTTTATTTCTACAGTAAATCTCATTGAGCCTCGAGGACTCATTTACAAGAGAGACCTGATTTAACAAAGAATGATGACAACATGACAACAAGACTGATGTAATTTAAAGTTATAGATCATTTGTCAAAGACTGCAGCATAAATTGTGACATTATCATTAAATTAAAACGTGATTGTGGAGATGAGTCAATGTTTTCATGTTTTCCAGGTAAACCAGAGGAGAATGACTTCATGAACTGAATGTTGCATTCAAAGTATCACAAAGGTAGAAGATCTCATTTTCTGTCTTCTATTAAACAATAACAGCTTAATCAAGATGTTTGAATAAAATCACTTTAACACCATAACCTTCACAAAGTTGGTATTTACTGCAGGACTGTTCATTTACATTAGTTTTATATTATTAGTTTAGTGTTTGGTAATCATGGGTCAAGTTGAGATGAGACTCTTTCAAGACAGAACAAGAAATAAGAATTATTACCAAGAATATATCAGCATCAATAAACTGTAGAACAGTAACAAAAAACTTATTAAACTATCACAGGTTCATTGAGATGGAGCTGGAAGTTCTTCTTCATGCCAGTTGTCTTCATCTGATCTTTTGTAAAAATATGCCAATTTATTTTCCATTGTTAATATTTTTCTTCGCAGGACTGAGTTAATTTTGTCTGTGAGTTTCTTCTGTCCTGCTTATGTATTTTTTTGTTCTAATTGTTCCTCAGGTTTTTCATCTCTGTTCCCTGACTGCCTGTTGATCCATCCTCCTGGTCCTGTTGATCCTGGATCATCAGATCCTGACATGTGCCCGTCCTCTGAGGACACATTTTCATCTTTCCCTCATCTCACTCGCCTCATTTCTGTTTCTTCCTCAGTCTCTGAAATTACAACGTCACTGTTAGAATGAAGATTATTGTTCAATAAAAAATATGACATGTCTTATTTAACACTGTTCGTACCAAAGTTTAATTTAGAACGACATGTGTGATCACTGGTCAGATCACTGGTCAGTGGAAGTTCTGCTGTTCTTCTCATCTGGTTCTGGTCCATGAACAAATGGTTGAACCTCCTTCAGTCTCACACGTCCTGACTGTGTCTCTGTAAACTGTCCTCTCTCTAAATGTGCCTGTAGAGTGACATCAGTTTATTTCTTGCACATTTCTTTGACAGTTAAACATTTTGAGCCCTGATTGAAAATGTTTGTGCAGATTAAATTTACAGCTCTCACTTTGTGTTGTTGTGGTGATGATGATGGTGCTCCTGCTGACTTGAGATGATGTCATTAATAAACAGTATAAATAGTAGTAAAAGTACTTTATTAAAGCTTGCTTTACATTTTACATATTTTATAATTGTTTGGAAATTTATTTTTGCAGTTAACACTTATTTTGTCACTGTTATGATTTTAACTAGAAACAGTTTCATTTAAATTAACATTTTAATCAATGAGATACAATTTTACAATCGTCAGGCTACAATCAACTCAGTTATCAGGTACTTGGTTGCCATAAAAAAACGACAAATACAATTATATTCAGTCTCTCTTGTAAATGAGTCCTCGTGGCTCAATGGGACTAACCTGTTTAAATAAAGGTTGAATTAATATCTTCTATAGAAATCAAGAATTCATCCAGATGATCTGAGGTAAGCTGGAGCAGATCTGATGCTGCATGGAGGACAAGGTGGAGTATTCTCATGCAGAGAACATCACAAATAGTTTTATAACAGGTGTTACTCTGATCTTTTTTTTATCGTGTGTAACGTTATAAAACACCGATATGGCTATATTGATCATTGTATTGCATATACATTATTTTTCTAACAAAAATGTGTTTGCAGTCTCGTTTCCTTCTAAAATTTAATGATAAATGTATCAGCCGCTTCTAAAAATGCTTTGATAAAATGCATAGTTTGTGAAATAATCAATAATCGGTTAAGTAATCAGTTCGTTACTGCTCAGTAATTACTGAAAGACGTCAGGTAAAGTAAGAAAAGTCGATTTTTGTGTTATGTTGCGCCAGCAGCCGCTCAAAATGACTGACAGCGATGAGCTTTTTGGAACTATGGGGAGCTGCATGAACCACGTGACCGCGTATCGGCGAGTTCAAAGAGTGTCGCAACTCTCTTTTTTCAGGGCTCTGGCATTAACTAGCCAGTTTTAAGAAGTCCATAATGCATTGCATCTGATTTATAGTAAATGAATTATTAATGTGCAAACAATTGGGGTAAATGACAACAGTGTGTTTTAAACCTTGCACTATATTTCATAAAAGCAGGTCTGCACTCTTGTTTCTGTAATATTAGTGCTCAGCTCCAACACAATGCCATTCATTAACAAATATTTTTCTTCCGATATGATACTTTATTGACGCACACTTAAAGGATTTCTCAAATTTTCAAAAACCAATTGGGTGTCATGGGGGTGGAAATTAAAAACTTTTTTCAAACTAAGGGTCACTTTCTGTCAGTACATTAACTCCAGTCTGATACTGGACATCTCTTGGTTCAAGGTTCCTCAATAATTTCATCGGCCTCAGTTTGTTCTCGGTCACATTTACTGCATCAAAAACAGATCTAACCTGGATAAATAAAGGCTAAATGAAATGAAAAATTATGGGGTAAAAAAAATTTTCAGCTTCAATGTTGGCTGACACAAAAAGTCTTCACTAAATAAAGTATATAGAGTTTTTTTTTTAAGTAAAATGAGAAGCAATAAAATGTTTTGATTTTAAAACATCATCTTGGTGGGGCCAGATGTTAACGAGGGCTGTATTTGGCCCTCGGGCCTTGAGTTTGACACGTGTGCAGTGATGAAATGAATGGGGACAAGTTCACTAAAACAATTGTCCCCAGCATTTTTGTCCAACAGGACAGCACGGTGGCAAAACTGCTGCCTCTTGGCGTGCAGGTCCCTGGTTCAAATCCCGGTCTGGGGGGCCTTTCTGGGTGGAGTTTGCATGTTCTCTCCGTGCATGCGTGGGTTTTCTCTGGGTACTCCAGTTTCCTCCCACAGACCAAAAACATGCACGTTAGGCTGATTGGTAACAAAATTGTCCCTAGGTGAGTGAGAGAGTGAATGGTTGGTTGTCTCTGTGATGGACTGGAGACCTGTCCAGGGTGTCCCCCATCCTGCGCAATGTGATTGTTGGATATGGGCACCGGCGACCCGCATGACCCAAAATGGGAGAAGCTGGTAAAAGATACTGGATGGATGTTTGTCCAACATCTTCTGTTCAGTTATAAAAGAAACTGTTTATTTAATTAGAACTATTGATCAGTCAAGAGATGAGCTGTTGGTTGATCACTTTTATTGAAAGGCATAAAAGGTTTTTAGGGTTAGTCTTTGAGTCTTGCGTCTTAAAGCTTATTTTAAAACGCGCGCGCACACACACACATATCTATCTATATATATCTATATAGAGATAGAGAGTTCTGCAAAGTATTTGTTAAACAGAAGTTATGAACAACAATTTAATCCAACACGGGTAAAGCTTCAACCTAACTGAGCTTCTTACATTTCAATATTAATACAGCATTCACATAGTAATTAAACTTATTTAGTAATAAAACATATTGCATTAGAATTAGCTTTTTGCCAGAGGACCAATGCTTTTAATATAAGTATAATAAGTATATGTGCTGTTGTCATCAATGTATGTTTCCATATGACAAAATTAGTTCTCCATATTGAACCCATCCCACCTGAGGTGCACCCTGGTGGGGCAGTGGGCAGCTTAGTGGCACGTCAGTTCTTTTGAAGTGGGGTTCTGTGGAAGTGTTCTAAACAATATCTTACCTGTTGTAGAAAGCATTTTGAAGGACCCAAGTTTGGAAAGAATAACACATTTCTGACTGAACTGCCAATCTAACAGCTGGTCTGAGCAAGCCTGAGACCAAGTGTTTCATGTGCATGCTCATCATTGTCAGACTGAGGCACTTGCAAGAATATCATTTCTGTCTTAATGCAAAACAATCTAATGTAAAAGTTTCTCAACTATTCTTTGCATGTGCCTCTAAGAGGTTTTTGAGATTGCAGTTAATACAGATTTGACCTCGACAGTCTGGTCAAAAATAAACTCAAGCAGTTCAATGAGTTATCTGTAACAGGTAAGATATCGCTTAAGTTCCACAGAATCCTTGAAATGATCTGAAGCTTTATAAAACTAAACTAAGACACAAATATATATTATTTACTGATGTGTTTTTCTCCATAATTAAGCATTTGCTTTCTACTCAATGGTGTTTTAAAGTGGAGAACTGGAATGGATGCTGCTCTTTCAATCCTACAGAGCATGTCTCTCAGTCAGCAGGTGACGGCTCTCCTCACTGGACGGGAAGAGTGACTCCTTCAGGCGAACCATGTGACCTGCAGCCCCAACATGGCCTCGGGCATCCGCAACCAGTGCCCTCTGGATGGGCCGGTAGACTCTGTGACGCCTGACAGACATAATAAAATATCTGCTTAACAAAAAACAAAACGAGCTATTTGCTTTTCTTGCTCATGAATCAGCATCTTGGTTCATCACTTGTTTACAGGAAGTGTAAGTGAAGACCACTCACTTGTAGACCAGATAGGCGATGAATGCAAAGACAGCCACTATGACGGCGCATGAAGACAGAACCACCCCTGCAGTGTTGGGGGGTTTAGGCCCTGCAAGGTACCAGCAACCAGACAGAATGAAATTTGCACAGAACTAAGAACGTGAGTGTGATCCGTTCTCGCTCCTCACCAGCAGCTTCCTGAGACTTGCTGATGGTGATGGTGGTGCTGGCCAGTGCCATGCTGCTGGAGTTCTCCAGGGTGATGTTCACGCAGTAGGTGCCAGGTTCCAGGAACCGTCGCGTCAGGTGCACCTCGCACTCTGCCGACGGGGGCACGTCGTCGCACGTGACGCTGCACACGTGTGAGCAGCTAGGATCTGACACGATGGTGCAGGCTGAGGTGGGGATGCTGAGGGCATGGAAGGTGCTGCAGTCAGACACGTTGTACAAGCAGCACTCCTGCTCTCATCGTCAAAACGAACCTTTACATGTAGTCAGTGAATAAAATAAGTATATTCGCACCTGCCCACACATTTCACCTGGAAGGTGACGTCAGTGTTGGTCACTCTGGCTGCTGACACGTCCACAATGAGACTTTTTGGCCAGCTGTTCAACTGGTGCTTTGGTTCTGTGCATAACAAACCCGTTAATGTGTTTGAAATCCGTAATCATCATCTTTAAAGGGTGAAACCAGCATTCCTTGAAGGAATGCATGTTGCCCATCGCCTTGCAAGGCGTGAGTCATCTTAAATTACTTCAAAGGTTAAAAAACTAAACGTACGTTCAGTAATAGTGTGAATGTTTATGAAGCATTCACACTACTGTGATCCATTTTTCTTCCGTACGTTTTTCAGCATCTTTCTCGTTCCACAGTTTTTGTGCTGTTTCAACAAATCATAAATCAAAACGTTCAGCTCCTTCAGCACAATCCTGCTGTGACTTTTGGTACTAGTGCAACTTTAGCTTTTTGAAACATTTAGCCTTTTCATTTTTTCCTCATAGAAAAAGAATTGAGCTTATCTTCCATCCTTCAAATCTTTCGATCTGTTTACAACCTTTTACTGCTCCTTTGACATTTTGTTCTGCTTCAGCTTCTTTCTGCAAATTTAAACTTTTTTCAGCTACTTTCAGTTAGTTTCAGCTGTTTTTTTCAGCTGTTTTGTGATCCTTTTAGATTCTTACAGCTAACTACAACATTTTTGTGCTTCTTCTAACTTCTTTCGGCTAATTTCAGTTTGTTCTCCTTTCAGCTTATGCAAGTTGCAGCTTTTTCTGCTATTTCAGCTACTATTTAGCTGTTTTTATGCAAATTTTACCTTTTTCAGCTAATTCCTAATTTTTTGCACTCATTTAAAGTTTTTCAGCCTAATTCAGCAAAAATATGTTCTCTCCACTTCCTTCTGGAAATTAAAGCTTCTTTCTGCTGTTTTAGCTACTTTTAAGCTGTGTTTTTTTGTTTGTTTGCAAATTTCAGCTTTTGTCAGATAATTTACACTTTTTTGTGCTCAAGCCTAACGGCAAACTTGTGTTATTTCTGCTTTCTTCTGATAATTTAAGTTTATTTTAATTTTCAGTTAGCTTTATAGTATTTTTAGCTAATTTCAGCTGTTTTCAGGTAAATTCAAGTTTTTCATGTTTATTTATGCTACTTTCAGCCTAATTAACATATTTATGCTAATTTCATCTGGTTATGCTCCTTTCAGCTTTTTCTGCTCTTTCAGCTACTATTTAGCTCTTTTGATGCTAATTTTAGCTTTTTCAGCTAATTCCACATTTTTTTTGCTCATCCCCGTTGTATCCACTTCCTAAGCTTATTTTTGCCTTTTCAGCTACGTTTCAGCTTTCTTTTCAGCTAATTTCCTAATTTTTGTGTTCATTTCTGCTCGTTTAAACCTAATTCAGCAAATATGCGTTCTTTCTGCTTTCTTCTGCTAATTTAGGCTTGTTCTTCCATTTCAGCTACATTTCAGCATGTTTTTAGCTAATTTCAGCTGTTTTTCATCAAGTTCTTCTTCAATAAGCACTGCATTTTCGCAGGAAATCAATTTGTCTAGGTGTTCTGAGTGTTTCAATGAAATCTATCAACTGGTTCAGCAGATATTTTGCTAACGGACAAACGGATAAACATAAAAATGAGACCATCATCGATCCTTTCATTGCAGCAAGTGATAAAATGAGCATGCATCTCAGATGAATAGTAAATGAAGAGTTTGAAGAGACAGCTGTGTGTTGATTCGACCCTTAACAGGACCTGTGATGTCTCTTCAGTCTCTGTTTCTGTTGGCTGAACTTGTTTTCATTTGTTAAATGATTACTTCTATGTTTGGCTACATTGAACTCGTTTTGCATCATGTGCTGGTTGAAAGGGTCCAACTCTGGTGACTCGGTGCAACACTTAGTGCCACTCTCCTGAGTGACTCTGAAGAAAAAGGTCTGACACCACACGTCCATCAAATGCAACGTCACGTTTTGGCGTTAACACCTACCAGTGATGGTGATGTTGCCGGTGAAGGTCCCGTAGGCGTACCAGAAACACTCGCTGCTGAGATGCCTGGTGCGCAGCCAGGGCAGGGGGCTGCTGTTGGACTCGGAGGAAGCCGTGGGAGGAAGACGCTCAGTTGTGGGTGACCCCGTAGTCATGGAAGTGGAGGAGGAGGTAAGAGGCTGGCGGGTGCTGGGTGGTGCTGAAACAAGAAGCAAACTGGACTTTAGTGGACATATCAGAAGATGTGACACACAAACTTATGACGCAGTGTGGAATCTCACCGGGTGTCGTCTGCACGTTAGTTGTAGCAGTGTGGGTGACAGGTGGAGGTGTGGAGGTTTCTGGTGGAGCAGACACAAAAACAGATTAATAAACTAACCTCTGATCATATCTGATGCACTGACCAACATCTGTCTTTTATTCAAAGTATCCAACAATTTTCAGTCAGGTCATCTGGACTTTTTTGGTTTTAAACCAGTTTGACATGACTGTCGACGAGGAAGAGGGCTGGCAACAGAGGAGGGGGCGTGCCAAAGACACCATCTTAGCACCAACATAACTGGTTTGTTCCACTTTGGAGTAAGATGTTGGAGGAAGAATCAGTTTTGTGTTGTGTGTTTCTTTGACTGATGAAGCCTTCTGGATGGAAGATGAAACATTTCAGCACAAAAAGAAACTGTCCAAACGACCTGAGTGAAAAATGTTGGATTGTATACCTGGAGTATTGAGCATGGACTTTGTTATTTTATTCAAAGTAGTCACAATGAAACCTTGATTTTAATATTTATTACAAATGTGTCCTCTGTGCTGGATGTTTGCAGCTCAGCTGAACTGATGCCTGTCCTCCATAAAGGACATCTGGAGCCATGAAACATTGTCTTTCCTGGTGGAGGGAAGAGCAGGAGTTAATGAACTCAAACCAAGAATGCTTTGATCAATACTGGTGCCATAAGTCCACTTTGACAACCAATTTCTGATTTGAGGACCAGTTAAGACTTGAACACTTCTTTGATTAAACAAAATCAGACTAACTATAACTTGTTAAATAATTATCCATAGTAGGTTATTTTCATTTATTTTTACCTTCTGGTTTTTGCACAAAGCGAAGCTAACCTGTCTCTTAGGTGTGGCTCACTTTAAACTAACACAGGCGGTTAACAAGTAGTATCTTACCTGTTCTAGATAACCCTTTGAATGAACTTAATCTGAAGGAAAATGCCAATCTTGAAAATTTCTGAGCGGTTTATGCAAACAGTTTTATTATGGCAGTGATGGCCCCTTTGGGTGAGAAGGCACAGCTCAAAGTTAGACCATTAGGGGGCCGAGATGGAGTAGAGGCAGGGCAGCTGACTCGGGACCTGAAAGTCCCAGGCTCAATCCCCAGTCATTGCACATCTCATGGTGTCTCAGAGCAGGACATCCTATCCCTAATTGCTCCACAGGCACTTTCAAAAACTGCCCAATGTTCCACCTGGGGGTGGATGGGTTAAAAGCAGAGAGACAATTTCGCCATGGTATGAAAACATACAATGATGACAGCACATACACATTATTATTATTATTATCCATCCATCCATCCATTTTCTTTACCCGCTTATTCCATTTTGGGTCACGGGGGTCGCTGGTGCCCATGTCCAGCAATCACTGTGCGAGGGGCGGGGTACACCCTGGACGGGTCGCAAGTCCATCACAGGGCCACATAGAGACAAACGAGACAAACAACCATTCACTCTCTCACTCACACCTAGGGACAATTTAGAGTTACCAATTAGCCTAACATGCATGTTTTTGGACTGTGGGAGGAAACCGGAGTACCCGGAGAAAACCCACGCATGCACGGAGAGAACATGCAAACTCCACCCAGAAAGGCCCCTGGACCGGGGTTTGAACCAGGGACCTGCTCGCTGAGAGGCAGCAGCTCTACCAGTTGCGCCACCGTGCTGCCCATTATTATTATTATTATTATTATTATTATTATTATTATTATTATTATTATTATTATTATTAAAAATAATAATCTGGTATTTATTTCAGTGGGGGCTGTTCAAACATCTATCTACAACAGGTAAAATGCTAATGGTTCATAATCCTTCCACAGAGCCTCACTTCAAACAATCCAAACTTTTGTTTAAAGCAATAATTGAGAATTTATTAAAACATCCACCCCCCCCCCCCCCCCCCCCCCCCCCAGGCATTTCCTATAAATACTCTAAGGTGACATTGTGAGTATAGAGAGCTGCTTTGGTTGACTTCAGGACCACATCTGAAGTGAAACAGTCATTTATACGCACAGTAAACAAAACTACCATTTTACTTGAGGAATATATTTTGCCTTCATGGTGATATTTTCAACAGTTTTTGGTGAAAAATCTCTGAAAAGCTTGAATGCTGAAAGCAGTCTTAGTCTTCTCCAAATGCTTCTACACGCCCAGTGGAACCCCACCTGGTTGTCTCCGTACCTTTGTGAGGGGGCGATGTGACAAGTCTTGCAGTCGGGGTGGCAGAGGTGGGCAGACACGCAGCAGGGAACGCTGCCTCCACCACCAGCTTCACGCTCATGTTCCCGAGCGTGCTGTAGGTGTGCGTGGCCACGTCGCGGCGCGTCACCAGCTGGTTGCCATCGCTGAAATCCCAGATGAAGTCAACAGAAGCTGCCGTCTTTAGGTAGCCGCTGGGGTCGTGCAGCTGGACCTTGAAGACAACGTCCTCGCCACGAATGAAAACAGACCTGTTCACCTGAGACTTCTGGGAGATGTCCACCGCCAAGGGGATCTTATCTGACGGACAGGATGAACTGTTAGCTCTAGTGTTTTGTCTGAAATATGAGGCTCAGTGGGTTTTCATCTCCACCTGTGATCATGTAGACGGTGTCGTCGGAGGCGAGAGGGATGTACTTCCTGCGCTCGCGCTTCCTGTAGACCATGACCTCCATGACTTCTGCCCCCAGAGGGATGTTGGTGGTGTTGATGGTCACACTGGATGATGAGTCATCGCACTTCTCAAAGTACTGACCTAAAACAAACAAATGAAAGAATGATTTTGTTTTGGGAAAAGTTTTCCAAAAATAATTCAGAATGAGCTTTATTTTCATTGCACCGAAACGCAACAAAATTCCATTTCAGTACAGTCCATCTGAGAGAAACATAGACATGGGGAGACGGAAGTGACGGAGGAGGCCGCCGGCCTCGAGAGGCACAGTATCTTTGTCAGATAAAGAAAAAGAAACACAAGGAGTGTAGATGTAAAAGAATCTAATCTCGCAGTGTGTCCTAGACGGGACACAGACTTGCAACAAAATGACCTCAGCACATGAAACAGCATCATACTGATGACATCATGATACATTTATGCATGAGGAGGTCGAGGAGGGCAGTGAGTTGTCCGTGGACATGAAGGTACACCTGGACCTACATCTGGATCTACCATTCTGTGTTCGTCTGTCTCTCCTTTCTGTCCTCTCAAACCAGCCGGTCAAAGCAGATGACCACTTGTCCTGAGCCTGGTTCTGCTGGAGGTTTCTTCCTGTTAAAAGGGAGTTTTTCTTTCCACTGTTGCCACTGTGCTTGCTCAGGATGGGAGACTGCAACAAAGCCAAGATTCAACTTGTCTGCTGCCTCCTTAGATAGAGAACTTTACTAATTGGCTTTTCTATGTATTGCCCCTTTTCCATAGTAACTTTTAGTACCAGTACAGCACGGTTCGACTTGGCTCGGTACTGTACACATTGTGTTTCCATAGCCCCTTCATTATGCTTTCAGTACCGGTTCCAGTGGGCGGGTTCAAATTGACGTCATGCGCCTTGGTCGGCCCAGAGCCCGAACCCCAAGTTGACTCGGCAGCACAGAGGATCTTCCGCAGTGACCAGTGGAGCTGGGGAGATGAACCCTGGACGGCCTGAGAGGGCTCCGAGGCTCTGGTGGAGAGGACCAGGGGGACCAGCAGAGCTCCATCTAGCTCGCTCTGAATTTTGTTGTTGGCCACCCACCAAGCCCAAAAAATGCCTGCACTTCAGCATTAGATCGCAGTGTTGTCATTGTTGTTTTGAAAATCTTAAAAATAGGTCCAGCTGCTCCTCGAGATCTAACACCGGTAATTGCAAATGACGGCTCGAGTGTTTAGAAAAGTTCCCAAACCCCTCTAGTGACTCCGCCCCCTGACCAATCAGTGACCGACAGTGTTCTGACGTCATGTTTTGCTGCCGGCTCGGCTCGCTTGGTACCGCAGAGAAGAAGGGACCCAAAAAGATGCCGGTTCCATGAAAAAGTGACGGTAGAAAAGGTTTTGGAAGCGTACCGAGCTGAGTTGAGTCGTGTTGCAGAGGAGCTGTGTTACAGGTCCATATGTGAATGTTCCTGTAATGTGCCTGAGACAACTTTGTTGTGATTTGATGCTATATAAGTAAACTGAATTGAATTGAATTAAACTGAATTGAATTGCCAGAAAGTTCCATAGTCCTGATAAAGATGGCACAGTGTCTTTCAGCCGGCTCAACTCTGACACAGATCCATAGATGTCCTCGGGAGGGGAACGGTGGGGGTGGGGGAGGGGGGGGAGCGGAGCTTCTTGTTCACATAAACAACCAGGAGAAGTTGAAATAGCTGGGCAATTCAAAGCCGAGTGGGGAGGTCAAATTCAGATAACACAATTATTTTGGGTCAGGCAGCCTCTGCTTGATTTCCATGTCTGCCTTCAAAGTTCTGTTGGTACGTCTCACTGGCGATTCCAAACAGCCAAATTTTGTGGTCACACTGCTGGAAGCTTGTAGCTTCTCCAAGGTCGATTCCTTTCCACCAGTGAGTCCCAGGAGCTGCAAGTGGCCTGCGATTCTCAGAAATCTTGTCCAGTTTACGGCTCAGCTCATGCAGCGTCTGAGTCTGAGAGCTGACCGCTCGAATTTGATGTGATTGGAACTGAGAGTCAAGATGGCATCTTGCGATATTGTTCAAGTATTTTTCAAGGTTTTAAATTAAGATTGGCGAAATGTGGTGAGGGATGTTTAATTAAACTCACCCATCGTGTGCCAAACGTAGACGTAGCTCTTTCTCCTCCAGCTGTTGTTCTGAGGGAACGGCTTCCCATCAGGGAACACGTTGCATTTTTTCACATCTGGACATTTTCCAAAACCATAGTCATCCAGCCAGGAAGTCCAGTTGTACACATAACCAGATCGAACCTGTCCGTTTGCTGTCCAAAAGAAAAAACAAAATAAAAACATGAGTTGTCTACAATTAGAGACAGATTTAAGTTTTTTACACTTCTTTTGCATTTCTGAGTTCAAATCGGATCTTGTGGGGGGGTATTTATATTTATATGTGCCATCCAAGGTTTTTTCTGTAAAACCTTCAGACTGAGGAGAATTAACTGAAGTTCTTGAATTGTTCTGGTCAGGCTGCTCCTCAACTATTAGGACTTAAAGGACTTTACTTTGTTCATAGCAAATGTTTGAAATGAGAACCTCATGTTTTTGTTTTGATCATTTATTATGAATATAAAAGGAATAAAAGCCCCTGATAAAAACTTGTTGGCCATGAAGAAGGTTGACATCTGAGGCTGTCGTCTCTTTTCAGCTCATTGTTTCACTAGACTTGTCATGACTCTTGGTCACTGTGTAAAATTCAGTCAAACTTGTTGTGCTGCTTCCAAACTGTGTCACATTAAGTAAGAAGGAGTTGCAGGTGTGTGTTGTGTGGGGTGATGTGTTTGTCATGGCCTCTGCAGCACCTGAGGCCTCCAGCTCTGCACCGTCCTCACAGCGCTCGTCCCAGACGGGCTCCCCGTTTGCATCCTCCTTCTGACACGGAGGATACTCCAACCTCGCCGTGAAGGTTATGAGCGAACCGTTGAGAGCTGGACTGTCACTGGTCAGTCGGACTCTGGGTTTGTCTGCAGAGAAAAGGACGTTGATGATCAACACACACAAGTGTGTGTTTCAAAAAGAGGACAACAGTTGGTATACCTCTGTGATGCATGGGCTTGCTTGGCTTTGAGTTGAGGGGTGGGTAGAGGTAATCATCCCAGGGGTTGGTGTCAGGCTGCCAGCCAGGGATGGGAGGGACTGGAAATGGAAACTTCTGCGCTGCTGAGTGCTTGTGAGGGAAGATGTCACCGTATACTGGAGAGAAAGGGAAGCAGATACAAATTAAAAGGGTCGTTCGTCCTATAAGGACTGCATTTTTATAATACAAGCAATAAATCCATTTAAACCGTCATATTGTGGAGCAAAAATAAAAGTCAGAAAAAGTCTGATTTGAAACTCAGCTCTGCTCGTTTAAAATGAACTGAGAGTCAAATCTGGGAATAAAAATCTCCTCAATTCATTAAAGGATTAAAAAAAGAGTTTTATTAAATAATTTGTGTTGTTACGAAGCACACAGTGTTTGAGTGTTCAGCCTTGGTGGAAAACAAGAAATTCCATCAAATTACAGGAAAACAACAGAAGTATCTGGAAAAACAACGAAAGTATCTGCTGGAGCAGAGAAATCAAACATGATCTCATTTTATGGCACACTTTTTGAAAGTGTACTTTTCTATCATAATAATTATAATAACCTAACAGTTTGTTATATTTAATCCCAACAGATGGTTTGACATTGAGTTTGTGCTATGTAAAACTTTATAAAATTAAAGAAATGCAATAAATAAAAAAGTTTTTTTTTTAAATTGTTGTTTGTGAAGAGAGATAATGTGAGGGTGATGAGCTGCAGTCTGAGCCTTAATTAGATTCATGGGACTCTGAGTGCACAGAGCGGACACGGATTTTACATCAACTTTGGAACAAAACATTTGATTCAAATAAATGTAAATGTTTCAAAAAGACTTACTTCTTCTTCCATCAGCTTGATGAACCAAACAGACACAGGCCAGGAGGGACACGCACAACATCTCCATCTGCTCAATAACTTGTCAGGTCTGGAACAGGCAGTTGCTCCCTGTCCTGCTCCTCCTCTGCTCCTTCTCCTCTGCTCCTTCTCCTCTCCCCCTGAGCTGATTTAATTGAGTCTGGGCGAGCACGTGATGCTCTCCAAACGAGAGGCACCTCCTCACCCATTAGACTCACGAGAGACTCCTCACTTCCTCTTTTTCTTGTCATGAAACTTTGAAAAAGATGTTGAGATAAATGTCTAATATTTATAATCGTTTCTATTTTTCTGATCATATTTTGGTGGATTATTTAGAAAATCTGATTATATGGAAAATAAATTAAATATTGTTCACGTTACTTCTTTTTTTTATTATTTGATAGACTTTTATTCTTAAAGCTTGTTTTTGTGACTAAGAACTGTTTTTTTTAATTGTTCTAAGAATTTAAGTGATACAATTATGAAATAAAATTGAATTGACGCGCGCGTGGTTTGGCCTCCCTCCTCTTTAAAAGTTCATGTCGGCTCTTTGTTAATTGAAATAAAAGTCCATGCGTGACAGATGCTCATATGACTCAGTTATTAGTTATTTTTGGTCGCGTGGAGCTGCTGACCACACTGCGCGCGAGCTCCGGGACCGCGTGCGTCCAGGTTGCGCCACAAACGTCGCGCGCCCCTAAAAGCAGAAGGAAGACGGATGATGGAGCAGATCACGTGACCTGATGTGATCACAGGAGAGACGGGACACAAAGGCCAGAACCGAGGGATCAGTCCAGAACCAGGAGAAGCTAAACTGAGTGTGTTCCATGAAGAGATTAATAATTCATGCAGATTAGGGTTAGATTCTAATCATCCTCATAGTTTACACAATAAAAGGCTACCAGAAATTAAAATATATCCACGTTTATATGTTAGATGATTTAGAACGATTGAATCTAAAAGTGTTGAAATAAAATGAGCAATCATGATGTGCATGTAGACCATGGGGTCTGCAACCTGCGGCTCTGGAGCCACATGTGGCTCTTTGGTTCCTCCACAGCGGCTCTTTCGACCAAAACTAATATCAAACTGAATTTTACTGGTTGTTGTACAAACGACAAAATTAATTAGTTTTAGCAGTTTTCCTGTCATTTATTTTGCTGGAATATGTACAAGGAGTAAAATATACTCACTTTAACTTTATGCCTATTTTTCCACAGTTAAAAAATAGGTCTGCATAGTTCATAGTTTTTATTAAATAAAAAACTAACCCACCCCCACCCCACACACACACACACAAGAATCTGGTCTTTTCATTTGTCTTATATTGCAAAAATATAAACTATTAAGTAAGTAAGTGAGTGAGTGAGTGAGTGAGTGAGTGAGTGAGTGAGTGAGTGAGTGAGTGAGTGAGTGAGTGAGCGAGCGAGCGGCTGGCTGGCTGGCTGGCTGGCTGGCTGGCTGGCTGGCTGGCGACAGACAGACAGCACAACAAATTGATAGCTGTACAAAGAAATTATTATACTGGTGCAAAACAAGAGAAAATAAACAATAGAACAATTATTATTAACTGTCTATTAGAATAAAAAGACCTGACAGTAGACGCAGACAGAAGATGATGAAGCCGTGGCCCCATCCCAAAATAATAAAACAAAGACTAGAAAGTTCAATGTAGGCTCACTTCCCAGGTCTAGAATAATAGGTGCCAGTCCCCCAAAATGACTTTAAAGTTGTGAATGAGGTGCATTAATGTTTACTGCCGCTAGCGGGGGCATCGCCCCGCTTCTTCCACAAACCTCTGGTCCAATTAGAACCTGATTTAATTAATGACATGCAGCTCTGGCAGTGTGAACATCCATCCATCCATTTTCTTCCGACTGGTCGCGGGGGATAGCAGTCTAATTAGGGAGGCCCAGACTTCCCTCTCCCCAGCCACTTGGTCCAGCTCCTCCGGGGGAATTCCGAGGCGTTCCCAGGCCAGCCGAGAAACATAGTCCCTCCAGCGTGTCCTGGGTCTTCCTCTGGGTCTCCTCCCGGTGGGACATGTCCGGAACAGCTCACCAGGGAGGCGTCAAGGAGGCATCCTAAACAGATGCCTGAGCCACCTCAACTGGCTCCTCTCGACGCGGAGAAGCAGCGGCTCTACTCTGAGTCCCTCCCGGATGATCGAGCTTCTCACCCTATATCTAAGGGAGAGCCCAGATACCCTGCGGAGAAAACTCATTTCGGCCGCTTGTATCCGAGATTTCGTTCTTTCGGTCCCAACCCAAAGCCCATGACCATAGATGAGGGTAGGAACGTAAATATATCGGTAAACTGAGAGCTTTGCTTTTTGACTCAGTTCTCTCTTCACCACGACAGACCTGTACAGCGCCCGCTTCACTGCAGATGCTGCAACTATCTGCCTTCCAGTCTCACGTTCCATTTTTCCCTCATTCGTGAACAAGACCCCAAGATACTTGAACTCCTCCACTTGGGGCAGGACCTCCTCCCTGACCCGGAGAGGGCACTCTACTCTTTTCCAACTCAAGACCATGGCCTCGGATTTGGAGGAACTGATCTTCATCCCAGCCATGTCACACTCGGCTGCAAACCGCTCCAGCGAAAGCTGTAGATCACGATTTGATGAAGCCGACAGGACCACATCATCTGCAAAAAGCAGAGATATAATCCTAAGGCCACCAAAACGGATCCCCTCAACACCTTGGCTGCACCTAGAAATTTTGTCCATAAAAGTTATGAACAGAATTGGTGACAAAGGGCAACCTTGGTGGAGTCCAACTCTCACCGGAAACAAGCCCGACTTACTCCAGGCTCTGACACCGGTCATACAGGGACCAAACAGCCCGTATCAAAGGGCCCGGTATCCCATACTGGTGCCAAGAGCACATATGGACACCCTTATGCTCGAACATGGTGTTCGTTATGGACAATCCATGACGAGCACAGAAATACAACAACAAAACACCACTCGGGTTCAGATCAGGGGGGCCGTTCCTCCCAACCACACCCCTCCAGGTCTCACTGTCATTGTCCACGTGAGCATTGCAGTCCCCCAGCAGAACAAGGGAGTTCCCTGGAGGTGCACTTTCCAGTACCCTCTCCAAGGACTCCAAAAAGGATGGATAATCTGAACTGCCGTTTGGTGCATAAGCACAAACGACAGTCAGAACCTGTCCCCGCACACATAGGCGGAGGGAGGCCACCCTCTCATTCACCGGGGTGAACCTCAACACACAGGCACCAAGATGGGGGGCAATAAGTATGCCCACTCCTGCTCGGCTCCTCTCACCAGGGGCAACTCCAGAGTGTCCAACCCCTCTCAAGGAAACTGATTCCAGAGCCAGAGCCATGCGTAGAGGTGAGTCCGACTATTTCTAGCTGGAAACTCTCAACCTCACACACCAGCTCAGGCTCCTTCCCCACCAGTGAGGTGACATTCCACGTCCCAATAGCCAGCTTCTGTAGCCGAGGATCAGACCGCCAGGGTCCCCGCCCTCAGCCACTACCCATCCCACATTGCACCCAACCCCTTTGACCCCTCCCACAGGTGATGAGCCCATGGGAAGGGGGACCCACATCTCCTCTTCGGGCTGTGCCTGGCCAAGCTCCATGGGTAAAAGCCCGGCCACCAGGCGCTCACCTGCATGTCCCACCTCCAGGCCTGGCTCCAGAGTGGGGCCCCGGTGACCCACGTCAGGACGAGGGAACATCAAGTCCATTTATTTTACTCATCATAGGGGTGTTTGGGCTGCACTTTGTCTGGTCCCTCACCTAGGACCTGTCTGCCTTGGGTGACCCTACTATGGGCGTAAAGCCCCTGACAGCATAGCTCCTAGGATCATTGGAACACTGAAACCCCTCCACCACGGTAAGGTGGCAGCCCAGGGAGGGAGCAGTGTGAACAATCGAACAATATTAGAAGACAACACTTTATGGTTTTTTTGGATTTGGGTCCTGTTTTTTAGTTTTCTTTTATGGGCAGTTGCAGTGTTTTTATGGTGTGTGTTTTTCATGTGTTTTGGTCTAATGGCATTTTGTTAAAGTCAAGCTGTTCAGTTAATCCTTGTAAAGTTAACATAAAGACTGACTATTTTAAGCTACAACTGTATCAAACTGGGCTGCACTTGTTCTTTTCTTAAATATATACACAAAAGCACCGAAATTTGAATGAGGGTTCAGTTTAAATGTTTTGTGGAACTAGAAACCACAAGTCCCAGAATTCTCTCTTTTCCCCAACTTCCTCCATCTGATCCTATGTTGGGGGAGGAATGCAGGAATCTTCCAGAGACTCAGTCAGAAAATGTAGAAATGACACTTCTTATGTGAGAAATTAAATTTTTTTATTTCAACCCTGAGACTTTTCCCAGACCCCATGGGATCCATGGATTCAGGATGACAGTTGTTCCTCTGGCCTTTTCTGTCTCTTTCATTTCCAGATTCTGAATCACGTTCACTTCCTGAAAGCATCTCTCAGGTTTTCAACCCACAACACCTCAGCTGAAAATAGTTGTGCAGGACAGGTTGGTGTGAATGTGCCAGGTTACATGATTGCACTGCTGGGGGGCAGTGGCGGCTCCTCAAAAGAGGGTGCTCAGGCGCTGCCCCCCCCCCCCCACACACACACACACACACGCACACACTGAAACCCCTCACCATTGTACACTGAAGACTTAAAAAAAAATCAAATAAAAATGAAATAATAAAATAAAAATATTTTGAAATATATGCATACATTTTTTTGTTCTGTAAGATAAATATTTTATAGTTAACGATGAGTTAGGTTGTTTCTTTCAGAAACGTTGTCTTTGATTAGGGACTTATTTCCAGCCCCTGGGGGCGCAAGAATCTAGTCCATAGACTCTCATTAAAAATTGTACATGCACAGACAGTTGTGCCGCTTCGTTACAAGATGTAGGAAGACTATGGGCACAGATATCTGCGCCCTGGGGCACATTGAACGTGAACTGTACTGATCAGTACCGATCGTGTACTTCCAGTCCCAGACCAGATTATTATTTTTTGTCCGGGAACAGATCGTGCTGCATGACACTCACAACCAGGCTGGCTGCAGGTACTCTTTAAGACAGAGGTCACTTGGTCAGGATTTGGACCGAATGA